TCGAATAGTCGAACATCATTACAACTTATTAACGAGGCTTATCAGGTGAGTGCATTTATAGTACTTGTATGAAATGAGGAAGAATAGCGACGAGTCAATATCAAATGTTTTATTAAATGTATATTTTACAGCATTTTGGTATATTTTCATAATATATATAGAAATTATATTATGAATAAGTTTTAGAGTATGAACTGCTCTAAAATGAATAAATGAATGTTAATGTATTGATATGGTTATTGATGTTAGTGAAATAAATGAAAATTCATAACGGTACATTATTGGCAGTAAGGTGCCATAAATGAAAATGCATAATGGTGCATTATTGGCAAAAAGGTGCCATAAATGAAAATACATAACGGTGCATTATTGGCAAAAAGGAGCCACTCATGGTATTCATAAAAGGTGAATGACCATTTCGGCACTTCGGTGTAATGTATATACCTTAAATTCTTATTTAACATAAATTAGGCAAAATAAAGTATAATTGGAAACAAAATATAGAAAAATAAGTATGATGGGCATACTAAGAATGGTTTTGATGACTACATGAAAGAAACCTGGGTTTAATTGAGATGATTAACTAATTTTTATGAAGTATACGATTTAGTTCGTATTTCAATATCTATAATATGATTATGTAAGAATTTTTAGTTCAATTACATTATTATGCCTCACTAAGTAAATACTTAACGTGTGTTGATTTCACGCGTAGGTAAAAGTAAAGACTTAGCAGAGTAAGGAGTGTAACAGAGAACATTAATCCAAGGTTAACTAATCAGTAACTATAGGACAATCAGGTCTTCTTTGGATAATTAGATGGCATGTATATGAATCTAAGAAAAATGCTTTGTAATGTATTTAAGTTATAACTTTGTAATAGTTTACAACGAATGTTTTACCTTATATTAAAAATGTCTTGTTTTAAATTTCGATACAAAATTTTACATGTTTATGAATGATAAAATGTTTTTAAAAGTCATGTGACACTTGTGACTTGTGTACGGGAACGTATACGGGAAATGGGTGTTACAGTCTTGTTGCAAGGAATAAAATGAGCCATCTTAGAAAACATGTCCATTATTAAAAAATAGAGTTTTTATTATTGTTTATATAAGGAAGTCCTAATACAATGTTCATGGAAATGTCCAATCAAGGTATTTCTAGAATGGTTAGTGGAGCACAAAGTCCTTGTGGAATGACTTCCGACTTAGCCTTTCTGCAAGTGGTGTAGTATTCACAAATATTTCCCCAATCTTGCTTTATCTTGGTCTAATACAAGTGTTCTTGGAGTATGCCCAACGTTTTAGCTATCCCAAAGTGTCCCATCAATCCTTCCCCATGGGCTTCCTTAATGAGAAACTCTCGTATAAAACCTTGTGGACTACATAGTTTTCTTTCCTTGAATAGATGCCAATCGTCCCTAAAAAACTTATCATGTGCACCCTTCTCACATGCTTTATAAATAATCCGAAAATCAATATCAGATTCAAAGGAATCTTTGATGAAAGCAAAACCCAATAATTTAGAATCTAAGTTATTAAGAAGAATGTACCTCTATGAAAATGCATCGGCAACAATGTTCTCCTTATTTTTTTTATACATAATCATATGAGGAAAAGCTTCAGGGAACTCTACTATTTGGCATGTCTCTTGTTGAGCTTATGTTGTCCTTTAATATGTTTCAATGCCTCATGATCCGTGAGGATTTGGGCCAAATGTAATGTTGCCATGTTTTTAAATCCCAAATGAGAACATACATTTCCTTATCATAGGTTGGATAGTTAAGTGTAGCTCCACTCAAATTCTCACTAAAGTAGGCCATGGGGCATCCCTCTTGTGACAAAACTGCTCCAATTCCAAACATGATGCATCACATTCAACTTCAAATGTTTTATTAAAATCAAGTAGGGTAAGTAAAGGGGCATAAGTTAAACAATCTTTAATAGAATTAAAGGACTTCTCTTATTCTCACCTAATAAAAGTTAGAGTTATTCTTGATGATTCCAGTCAAAGGGACAATTAAAGTGTTGAAGTTTGGCACAAGTGGACGATAAAAACTGGCGAGTCCATGGAAACTCCTCACTTGACTAATACTTGTGGGTTGTGACCATTATTGAATCGCCTTGACCTTATTTTGATTCACTTCTAATCATTCACAACTCACGACAAAACCTAAGAAAACAACCTTGTTAGTACAAAATATACACTTTTGCAAATTGGGAAAAAGCTTATCTTTCCTTAAAACATTAAAAACTGACATGAGATGTTGAACATGCTCATCAATGGATTTTTTATATATAAGGATGTCATCAAAATATACCACACAAAGCTTACCCAAGAATAGTTTATGAACATGATTCATTAACCTCATAAAATGTGCTTGGTGCATTAGTTAAAGCAAAAGGCATAACCAACCACTCATAAAGTCCTTGCTTGGTTTTGAATTTTGTTTCCACCCATCACCTTCTCTAACTCATATTTGATAGTAACCACTCCTGAGATCAATCTTAGAAAAGATGTTAGATCCATTAAGTTTATCCAATATGTCATCTGATCGTGGAATAGGATGACGATACTTTACTGTGATTATGTTCACTGCGCGACAGTCCACACATATGTGCCATGTTCCATCTTTCTTTGGCACAAGTAATATCGGCACGACACAAGGACTAAGGCTTTCCCTTACATAGCCCTTTTTTTATTAATTCTAAAATTTGTCTTTGTAACTCCTTAGTCTCCTCGGGGTTACTTCGATAAGTTGCTCGGTTCGAGATGGTAGTTCTGAGAACAAAATCAATTTGATGCTCAATACCTCAAATCGATGGCCACCCACTAGGAATCTTATCTGGAAATAAATCTTCAAATTCTTACAATAGTGAAACGGAAAAAAAGGAAAATATGGATTAAGGTCATTAGTGTTTAAATAATTATCCTTGTACATAACTACAAGTAGCATATTTTCCAACAATAAACACTTTCTTATTTCCTTTTCCCTTGCAAAAATGATGATTTTCTTCCCCTCTTCTTTGTTACTCTCTTTTCTTTTCCTTCGATTTTCCCTCAATTTTAATCTCTTTCTCTTTGGCTTTTTTCAAAACTCTGTCTCAAATGGATTTGATCTTTATGCACTTGTTTCGGTGATAGTGGGGCTAAAGTAATCTTATTTTCTCCATGTGTGAAGGTATATGTTGCGTTGTGCAATGTACTATAATTTGATACGCAAACTGTACAAGTATACACGTCAAACAAGTAATAAAGTATTGAGTGAGATTGTCTCCACAGGGATTAGAGGTAAATTAAGTAAAGAAAGTGAACACAATATAAAGATAAAAAGTATAGTTTGTATGAAATGGTATCAACAAGTAAAAAATGTTGTAGCAAAAACGATACTAAAATTAGAATTGTAAGATAAGATAATGAAACATCCTCACACGTGTGAAACTCTCAATAAGGGTTAAAGTATAGGTATATTATGGATTCCTATGTCTTGTTTTCATAACTTTCTAACACTCTCTAAACCATCTCTAGCAAGAAAATAATAGTAAAAATGCTAAGGCAATACCTTTTATCGTAAACCCTAGCAAGTTACTACCCCATAAGTTATACTTCTTTTAGTCGTTGAAACTCAATCCTTATCTCTAAGGTGAATTAGGGATTTACCTCTCATTGTTCACTTCGATCTAAGCTTAAATCTCTCGACCATTAAGCATAAAATAAAGGTTAGGGGTATCTCTTGAAAACTCTTACTAACCTAAGTAATAACACGGTGAACAAAGCATGCATAACTAGATAATTCCTTGATATTCATTAAAAAACATAATCATCCAAAAATAAACCCAAGCCAAATAAGTTAGTTCATGGATGGGAAAAAATCATCCATAATCATTTATTTAATACAATAGATTTCCAGAAAATAAATTGAAGTAAAGAGCGCTAAGGAAAAAGAAAACTCCCAAGCTACCTTGGACTGTCATGAACCACCACGAGTGATGTTGCTTCTCTCAAATGTCAGCAAAGCTCGTCCCTTTTGAAGCTCCAACAATGAAGAAACCATGAAATGGAGAAAACATTTAGTGGCCACCTCCCACTTTTTTTCTCTTTTTTAGCTCGGTCGAATTTCCCCTTTTAAATATGAGTGTCCTATTTTTTATATTGTTGAGGTGCCTATGGTTTTGCGCCCTCATTTTTAGATGCTCTAAGGAAAAGATTCCTTACATGTGGGATACACCTGGTAGGTGGATTCACGTATGGGCTACAAAATATATTCCATTGTTGTCTTCTTGTGCGCCCAAAAAATACCATCCAAATGTTGCAACAAAATTCCTTCTCTCAGCAATCCTTCTCAGTTACCCTGCACATCACCATACCAAAACAAACATTTATCCCATAGCAGCACTGAAATCATAAATAAATAAATAAAATAAAGTACTTGAACACCACTACATGCAATGAAATGAACTAAATGCAGTTATATGCAATTAAATGGGCTTGAGAACGAATAATAACTTAAGTAAAAAGGGCATAAAATATGACATTTTGACAAGGTTAATGTTTTACCGGTTAATATAGCCATCATGAATCACACGCTTATCAAATTTACATAGCCTTTCAAGTAGTAGATGACCATCATGCATCGGAACAACATTAGACAACACCTCATCTTTGTATCTTTCAATGGAGAAAAAAATGAGAACATGATTGGTGACCTTGAGTTCCCTTCCAACATTAAGCCATTGTAGCTTGTATGGATGTGGATGCTTTTTTGTTGCTAGGCCAAGTTTATCTACCATCAAAGTACTAGAAATATTAGTACAAATGCCTCCATAAATTATGACAAAACATACATTTCCATCAACGTTGTAGTAAGTATGAAAGATATTCTCGTGTTGTTTATCCACTTTAGTGGCTTGCACACTAAGAATGTTTTTAACTATAAATGTCTCTCCTTCAACAACATGATCTAACTCCTCTTCTTCTTCTTGGATGGGAATGTTATCTTCTTCATCTTCCTCTTGGTCTATTTTAATTTCCCCATCATCTCGTAGGAGCATTGTATTGCATTTTGGATATTGACTAGTAATGTGTCCTCTCCCCAAGCACTTAAAGCATTGTACATATGGGGAACGAACAAGAATAAATGTACTCTTTCCTTTATTGGTTTTGGTAATATGCTTGCTATGTTTGGGTGTTCCACCTCTTTCATTGGTTAGAAATGGATAACTCATTTTGTAAGAGCTTTGACCCCACTTTGTTGTATAACTTCTATAGGTGCGTGAAGTCTCCTTTCTTTTGAGTTGCTTTTACACCTTCATGGCCATATGCACCATGTCATCGATCTCCGCATAATGTTGTAACTCCACAACATTGGTAATATTAGGATCAAGGCCCGCTAGGAACATTGCCATCATGGCTTCTCGATCCTTGTCTATGTTGGCACGAATCATGGCCACCTTCATCTCTTTGTAACAGTCTTCCACGCTATGATTTTCTTGCAAGATTTTGAAGCCTATTAAACAACTCTTGATGGTAGTGGGTTAGAATGAATCGTCTCTACATCACTGCTTTCATTTCATTCCTAGTAGAGATAGGACATTCACCATTTCTCCTTATGCTAGAAGTCATTTGATCCCACTATATTAGTGCATAATCCATAAATTCAATGGCGACTAGTTTTACCTTCTTAAGCTCAATTTAGTTGTGGCAATAAAAGATGTGTTGTACTTTCTTTTCCCATGCAAGGTAAGCGTCAGGATTCATCTTACCTTTAAATGGTGGAATGGAGATCTTGATGTTGCTAAGATTGTCATCGATTCGTGGACGAAACCTCTAATGTCTCACGCCTTGATTTTTCGAGTCATGTTATGAGACGTGATCATCTCCTTGCCTAACTTCTTCCCCTTCTTCAAATTCTTCTTGGTAGGCTTTATCTCCTTGATCTTGCCTTTGCCTTATTTAAATTAGATCATCTGGAATGCGGTTTATTCATTCATAGATTGGTTCCAATTCTTCCCTAAACATCATTGCCAACTCACTAACCATTGCTTGAATTTGCAAGTTTGGTGCACCACCTTCATTTGGGTTGTCACCTTCTCATGAAATATGAGAATTGTCTCTACAATTATGAAACATGATTAGTAATAAAAAAAATTAAATCTTACCAACACAAAATCTCACCAATTTCACTCCAAAGGAAAGCCACTCCATTCGTGTTTCACTCGGGATAGCTTTTACCCTTGATGTACTCTCTTGTCTTTTATTACTCTTGCTTGTTTTTTCAAGCCTTGTAGAACTTCCTTAAGGCTTAAAGGAATTCTTGTGGAATTCGGCTGAAACAAATGTTTAAGAATATATATAGATGTGTAGGAAATAAGGTGGCTATAAGAAATAAAGGAAATTGTGAGAATGAGTAATATTAAATGAAAATGATGAAAGAAATGGAGAATCAAATTCAAGCTTCCTTTTGTGTGTGTTAAATATGAAATAATGTTTCCCTCTCTCTTTAAGATATTTTTATATTTTTTTAAATTTTTACTACACTAGGAGAGACAAAACTAAAACTTACTGATCAACTGTAGCTCTGATACCAAATGATATGAATCCAGTTGTGATATTACCGAATCATATGTGATGTGTGCCCGATCATGATTCTAGTAAGTATTAGGAATTGTTTGCTTTGAATCCTGTAATGAAACTTGTAATGATAATGAGATAGAATTAAAAATGGTGTTATGATTGAAATAAAATTGATGTTGTAGGATTGATGAAAGGATGATGATAAAGTTGTAGTTTAAAGGAAATTAAATATGTTGAAGGTTATGGTGATATTGGCGTAAAACATGTATGAATAAAGGAAGATGGATTATGACCCTATAGTTATAAGGAACTAGAAACCAACAACATAATAAGATGGATTAAAGGGGTAGGGGATGGAACGTGACCCTCTAGCTATATGGAGCTAGGAACTAGCGCTATAAAACATTGAAATGGATGAATACCACAAGAACAAACTTGAAGCCGATAAAGTTCTCAATAGAACTATAAAAAAATAACTCACGAAGAGGTTTATAATTCAAAGGTTGTGTGATTACAATGAAAGGAAAAGTGCTTATTTATAGTATTCATAGGCTTAATATGAAAAGTCTTAAAAAAAGAGATAATTGCTTCATCTTAATGATAATGAAAGCTCATGAATGCATTGTTCTTTTCTTCTCTCAAGTGGAAGAAAGTTCCAAGAGTCTAGGATGAATTTGGACATTCTCTAGGCTGAATCTAAACTCATGCATCCAATGGAGAAGACTATTGCACTTCCATGGCTTGCTCTCTCATGTAGAATGCCTGAAGACAACTTAGGATGTATGTGGACATCCTATACGTCCAAAGGGGAGGTGTTTCTTGACATTTCATGCTCATCTTCATGTAATTATCCTTCTTGAATGCCTTTATGATGAGAATAAAATAGGCGTTCAATGCATGTCCCTTTGTAGAATTCGAATGGTCTCTTGCAAAGATGATAAAGAATATGATTAAGGATGAATTGAAGGCTTGTCTCCCTTGTAGAATTTGAAAGGTCTCTCTTTAGTTCAAACATATCCATAGCCGGCCATGTACCTAGACACAATCATTCAAGCTTTAAAACAAATTAAGAAAAACATGTCATGCAAACATTTAAAGAGCTAGTTTAATTTATGAACTAGTTTAAATTAATGAACTAGTTTAATTAATGAACTTGCTTTATTGAATGAAACAACATACTTAAATGAAGTAGCTTTCATAAAGACCTACATGATTTAATGAATTCAAGCTTAAATGAAGTAACATGCTTATTTATTTATTCAAATTAATGTCATGCAAATTATGCACAAGTAAAAGATGGAAGTCCTCCCTCAAACTTGTTATCTCCTTCTTCATGTCCCAATCTTAACAAAACAAGTTTTCCATGGCTTCTTGGAATTACCTTGCCCTAGCACGTGTCATTAGTCCACTAGGGAATACTTTCGGGTCCTTGTCAACGGTGACCAGTAGGTATGTTTAATGAGATGGCATCGAGAGATTCATTTCTCTATATAGTTTTTTGAGATCATTGGTTTTGTGGATTTTGTATTTCCAAGTCTTTAGTTGTTGTGAGTAATAAATTAGGTACTGAAATCCTGTTATCTTTTGATTTCCATTTACTTATTTGTTCGTTACATAGAATTTATCTCGATTTATTGATTTTACTATTGCAAAGGCAGATCCGGTATAATACTTTTATTCTCTGTGTGATACGATACTTGATACACATATGTATATATACTTTATTATTTTAGCACAATAATGTATGCTTTCACTTTTGTCGATACATTTCCATCACATCATTAATCCAAGAGAGTCATTCAGATTTTAGAAGATATACTCCAGTGTTGCATCATTGATTTTGAGGGTAGTTGGGAAGATAATCTTTCACATATGAAGTTTGCCTACCATAATAACTATCAGTCAAGCATCTAGATAGTCCTGTTCAAGGTGTTGTATGGACGCAAATGAAGGACTTTTTTTTTGTTGGACTGAACTTAGTGAGGTTAAGCTTTTTGGATTGCCTTGATCAGTGAAAACGAGGAGACAATTCATTTTATTCAAGATAGACTCAAGGAAACTTTTGATAGTCAAATGACTTACACGAATTTGAAACATGAGGATATTAAGTTCTCTATGAGAGATAAAGTCTTCCTAAAGGTGTCACCTTGAAAAAATGTTGTGTTTCAGGCGCAAGAGAAAGTTAAGTCCGAGGTTTATTGGGCTGTATGAGATTCTTAAGAGAGTTGGACTCGTAGCTTATCAGTTGAGACTAATACTATCATTAATTCCTAGAGTTAAAGCCCCCGCATTATATGCCATCAATTTTCCAATGAAAACCCCCCAATTGTTTGACCATCTGTTCTAAAATAAATTCTATCAACAATTCATTGACTAAGACCTAAAAATCAATTGTATGTAGCACCACCAACATTGGATCTTCTCCCTCCTCTAAACAGTGTATAACCAATAAATGTGAGCGGATATACCATGGTGCATCTATTTCAATTCGATTTGTGTCGATCTCATGATACAACCTAAAAAGGAAACGACCCTATCGTAATTCTGATATCGCTATGCCACCGCAGGATGCTATACGTTTGCAAGTGAAGTACACATTGTTTGGACAATAACGCTTGACATTAGGAAACTCCCTACAAATTAGTTCGTAAAAGTTATAATGGGACCACTCGCAACCTGATCAATTAACAACGCCTTCTCCTTCTCTTCCCCTAAATTCAGACCTTCCAAATCATTTTTCAGATCACCCATTGATAAAAAAAAGAAAAAAGAGGAGAATATCAGTCGGGAAACCTTCCGCTTCAAATCAAGTAAATACAATAAAAATCAACAACTTCCTACGGAACAGACAATGAAGAAAAACTAATAAACCTGAGACTATCTAGGAGACATGCCACAAAAAACAGAGATATAGTGTGCCAATCGACAAAGAAAATGCGTGCTAGACGATAGAGAAAACTCTATTTTGATTATTATATTAAAATTCAAATGCTACTGAAAATTTTTATTCTCTAAAACCCTGTCTTAAATATGTTTAACTGATACAATAATAATTTATAAAATTTTCCCATTATAAACTAATGGTTGGAATATATATCTCAATTGACCAAGATAATATTCATTTAATTATTCAAACAAAAAAATAATTTAATAGAAATAAATAGGATAGTAAACATAACGAAACTGTCATATTTAAAACTTGTCCTGCATCACAAATTTATTCCTTTTAGGAATACAATTCGTCTTCCCTTATTATGGCGTTTTTACCTACATATCACCCTCAGACCCATTAATTATCTATCATGCACCATCTCTCCTAATATTACTAATCTAGCATACTTTCTAACAAGGCGCAGATCACTATCCACGCCTTCGCGAGGTTCTATCCGAACTGGTGTCACGTAAGGGAAGGCGTGGATCGCCATCCGCATCTTTATTAAACCTCTAACATATATGGAAGGTGTGGATCATGAAACACGCCTTCCATGGGAAATGTTAACGTGGCACCACTTGAGAAGGTACGTTTCAAGGAGCATGCCTTCGAAGGTCCACATCATTCCTCAAAACATTTTAAAAGAATATGCTTTAAAAAATTAAAAAAAATAAAATATAGGGACTAATATCATAATTTAATACATATTAGTTCCATGAGTTGAAGAGCTTAATGGGGTTAGCTTATATAGGCATATTAGAGTGTCTAGGTTATGTTTCTTGAAAATGTGGGATAAAAGTTAAAATGTGCATTCTTTAACTTTTTTTATCTCTATATCTAATGAATCTACTCATACACTATTGTTAACTCTTTAAGGATCTCCCCTTTAAAATTGTTGAAGATCATATACCTAATCAATCTTTTGGTTAGTAGGAAGAAACAATCTTAATTAT